GCAGCGGGGGGGGGGGGGCGGGGATTGACTCTGGTATGCAACATGCTAGCTCTCCTCTCCAGGCCTTTGTGCATGCTGTATCCTCCACCATCATCTTTCCTCTGAAACCCTCTCGGCTCCCATCCTGGGGACATCCTGAGCTCCAGGACACGCCTGACTAGCTCTCCAAACGCATCTGCCGGTTTGCAGCCTGACCGCCTGAGGCATGAGTCCTAAGAGTTCTTGTCTTGGTTTTTATTCATGTCTCTCACTGACGGGAGCAAAGCCATTGACAGGAAGTAGTGATATTGCCTTTTAGATAGCCCTCTTGAGGCCAGTGAGGGTGACAGGCAAGAATGAAGCAGCTGGTGCTACAGTACAGACAGAGGAGGCCATAGGCCAAGGTGGAGAGGAGAGGCCCTGCCTACTTTCATAAGCAGGATATGTGCCAGCCTGCATGGGTATTTTCCTTAGGGTCTTCCCCACCACCTGCAAGTCCTTCCCCTCACTTTGTCCCTAGTGCTGTATGTGTGGGACAGACTCAGTTTCGATTCAACCCTAAGGACTGGCCTTGCCTCCAGGAAAAATCTTGTGGGAGGTTTTGACTAAGTGAGGAAATTACTAGTGGGGTGGCTTTGAGCACATGGCATCAGCTGCTTGAGCATCTAGGTTACTACCCAGCCTTCCCCTTTTCTATGTACCATGGAATCAAATCATTCTCTTTCAGGAAAGGGAAGGCCCTTTCATCCAGCTGTCTACAAATTCCCTATCTCCTTCCAGCATTGCTTACCTTAGTAATTCTGGGAAGGCTCTGTGTACCTCCTCCTGGCCTGCACCCAGGCTGCTTGCAAGTCCTTCCTGTAAAACCACTCTTTGCCAGGCTTCTTCTGACAACTTCCTCATTCACAACAATGAAGGGCAGAATGTTTAAGACTACTGCCCACGGTACTGGGTCACTCCCATCACAGGCAGTGACATATGAGCATCTAAGTTGGCTTTATTGTTCCTACTTTAAGTTAGAAAAAGAATTTATTAGTAAACTCCTGGGGTTTGTTTGGGTTTTTATTTTGGGCTCAAATGACTCTAAAAGTGCCCAGCACCATTGTCCCTTCTCTCCTAGTCCCATATCGAGAGAGAGAGAGAGAGAGAGAGAGAGAGAGAGAGAGAGAGAGAGAGAGAGAGAAGAGAAGAGAAGAGAAGAGAAGAGAAGAGAAGAGAAGAGAAGAGAAGAGAAGAGAAGAGGTATCTCTCTTATTGTCCAATCCAGTTGGAGCACTGAGCAGGGTGCAAAGGCAGTTCAACTGGGTACAGACCCCCATCCCAAGTCTGGGTTTTAATTATATGCCAGTGAATATCACTGCAGTCTTCACCCTTCCTCCCCATTGGCTTTTACATTCTCAGACCTCAATGCCTAGGAATGCTGGTTTTGTATGCCTGTGTTCAGTTCAGTACAAATGCAGAGCTCATTCACCCACTAGCACACTGTGCCAGGGTCAGGTCTGGCTTATCCATGAACAACCCAGCGTCACTACACTAGCCCTAAGAGTGCAGCACCAGCAGCACCTCACCATAGAACAAAGGCTCACTCACAGGGGTGGAGGGAGAGGCAAGTCTGAACCCTGGCAAGGAAACCATATGGTTTGTGAGGTCAAAGTGGGTACCCACTTCTTTATAGGTCCTTCGCTCCAGCTACCAAAGGCCAAGGATTCAGAAGTCTGCTGTCCATATGGTACCTGAGGAAGATGCTTAATTCTAAGAGGAAAGGAGAAATACATAGATGTGTATGTCTGGGTAAGATGGCAACATACTACTGGGCATGGAGAAAAGTGGAGGAAGGGAAAGAGGGAGGCTTACATTCTAATCACCAAAGACATACCTGCACAGCCTGGCCTGATCAAAACCTCCTGGGCTCAGTGTCTGTACCGCAGGCTCCTCAGTGACATAAGACTGGGAAGGAGCCTGGCTCCTCCCCCAGAGGGTGGCAGGCAAGGCCCTGAAATCTCACTCCAGTTCTTGGGCCTTGGGCTCTGAGGGACAGTGTCTACTCTTGTGGCAAGGTGTGCTCCTGCAGTACAGAAAACACACTTTGTCTGGATTCAGAGTAGCTCAGGCCCCCAGGAGGGATAGGAAGGGAGACCCAGCTCAGTATAAGCTCCGTCATCCTGCTGGGGTCACAACCTTCTCTCACACGGGGCAAACAGGTTTTACAAGGGCAGGATTACAGTTTCAGGTTTCCAGAAGAACAAATTCTGGCCTCTTAGGTATATCAGGATGTTGATCATGTCATACTGTATTCTTAAAACACAGTAGGAAAGTCCATCTGGAGTGTTCTC